TTTTTCTAGAACGGTTCTGAGGGACTGTCTCAGGAAAAGTTTAGTACAAGATATATGGAAGGTCCCCGGAACGTTTCCGGAACTGTACTTTCGGTCTTGGATTTGGTTCAAGGAACGTTTGCAGAACGTTTCCAGACTGGTACTAAGGTTCTTCGTAGTTCCGTCGGTAATCGATGACAATGCTGCCCAGACAGAGCGTACGCCCCCCACCGGAGCTTACTCTGTTTCCTGTCCAGCTCAACAATACAACAAACTTGTACAACATAATTTTCTCATTCCTCTTTGAACCACATTTAATCTTGTTGTAGACTCACGTCTACAGTGCACGTCCGCACACCTGTCAACAAGGTGTGGCATACACTTTGCTACCTTACTTGCTCACTGCTGCTACCGCCGTAGCACACGTCACTTAAACATCATGACCGTTGATTTTACGTCATCAACCCACTATTGTTTTTTGTGAGGACCACTGTTCAGCAGATCTGACGTCCTCTGAAAAGAACACATCAAGCAATCTAGCACGGGCTAAACCATCAGGGAAGCGTTCTCGAGTACACAGTCTTAGCAGACCCTCAGCCACCGGTTTTATCACGGCGCGCATGCTACCAATCGCTTTCCCCCCATCAACATCACTCGATGTGATACCATTGTATGCATATAACCGTAGTATAGATCACGTCGCCCAATCCCTCAAAATCTGCACCCGTACCCGAAATTGTCTACTTGGTTGTCCCAAGGGCCTACCTCCGCCGCCCTTGAAGAAAGTAAACACTGGGTCAAGAGAGCCACGACGTGGGTCGGACGCTTCCGTACATTCCAACAATGAAACCCACACCATCATCCAACGGTCGCTGGCGATTCGGAGACAGCGCATGGCCAGCTTTACCTCAAGCGGTCACCTTCGTACCGGCTTTAGCGTTCTGTATCATTCCTCGCTTCGCGTGCCTCTTGCAGAAGTCGCGGTTATTGCCGCCGTCCCTGCCGAAGCTCGGGGAGGTAGTACACCCCGGGTGGCCGCACCTCTTGTTGTTGACGTCAACCATACCCTGCTTCGCGTGCCTCTTGCAGAACTCCGCCTCCTTGCTGCCGCTTACGCCAAAGTTCGGGATGGTGATGCACCCTGGGTGGTGGCACCTCTTGTGCGTGACGTCAACCATACCCTGCTTCGCGTGCCTCTTGCAGAACTCCGCCTCCTTGCTGCCGCTTACGCCAAAGTTCGGGATGGTGATGCACCCTGGGTGGTGGCACCTCTTGTGCGTGACGTCAACCATACCCTGCTTCGCGTGCCTCTTGCAGAACTCCGCCTCCTTGCTGCCGGTTTCACCATATGACGGCCCCTTCACGCACCCTGGGTGGCCGCACCTCTTCTTGCTGACGACGTCCACCGTACCCTGCGTCGCGTGTCTCTTGCATAACTCCGCCTTCTTGCTGCCGGTTTCACCATGTGACGGCCGCTTCATGCACCCTGGATGGGCGCACGTCTTGTTGACGACGTCAACCATATCGTGCTTCGCGTGCCTCTTGCAGAACTCCGCCTTCTTGCTGCCGGTTGCACCATATGACGGCCGCTTCATGCACCCTGGGTGGCCGCACGTCTTGTTGACGACGTCAACCATACCCTGCTGGCGGTGTTGAGAGCAGCGCTCCGCCTTCGTGCTGCCGCTTTTGCCGTATGATGCACATGTTGTGCAGCCGTGTTCCTGGCAGATCCGACGATGTTTGTGTCCATGGCGTCTGGTGATCATTGGCGTTGACTGCGTTACAGGACGGTGCACAAATTGCCGATCCGAACGCACATTTCAGTGCTGAACGCGTCTTGTTCCGAGCAAGAATACGAGCGACTTTGGGTAGATACCAGCAGACGAGTTTTCAAAATCTCAAGGTAACATTACACGCTTTCCTGCATCCGTTCTAGATTCTTCAGGCTCGACGCTCAACCCCTTTCTCATCCTCGGGGTGGAGAATATCCCTCGGTGTTCCACCATAAAAGCCCTGCATACTGCGATCCTCGCCACGCGTACTCTGCCCATCTTCCAAGATGGCGGGGGGTATTTAGAGATATCTTTGCCACTGACGCACGAGCGTCATTGACCAAAACTCTTCCTTTTCGCTGCTTGGGGGCGGTCGTGAAATATACTTGAAGCGCTCCCTTCACGATTGATGCTGAAATTCGTATTCTGGCCCCACGTATCCACCGCACGTCATGAAATATTCTACAAGCCCGAGGAGACACGGGTTTATCGGGTTTTAGGACACCGCCTCCCCCAAATTGCTCGGGGGCTCTCCTTGACACCAATATGCCTGAATATATTCCAATGGAACTAGCATGGCTGTTCACAACGAGACGCGGGAGGCTTCCTTCCGACGACTCCACGATTGGATCCAGATAGAGAGAGTGATCATCGTCAGCGTTGAACGGCCCGGTTTGATATGTTCAAACACGCCATTGTGTAGTTTCATGGGGTACGCTCACCGAATGTAGGAGTATACAGCTTCTTGGAATGAAATAGTTAACTAAACGTTCATGGCATCCAGTCGTTCAAATTCCCGCTTGAATGTACTTCCGCGTGGTTTCTCCGCTACCAGCAGTCACATGAATGCTTCACCATATCTGCCAGTACCAACTTCGCCACTTCATCACGCACACTATAATCTCGAATGTCTTGCACTACTTGTGTGAAACGGTACAAAGCAACGTCAACAAACTGATGTCGACGTGCTAGATCTGCGAGTATGGTCGATACACTCAGCACGGTGGTATCGGTACCGCCAGCCGTGCGAACCACAAAACACATACGTGGTCTAGCAGCAACCCTGCCGAGCCTACTACCCACCTATCACAACTATGGATCTAATCATCGTCCTGAAATCACGCACAGTTTGACCGGTGTGCTCACCGAAGCTAAGGACAGCATGCACGGGAGAACCGCACCATCACACTGGTTGACATGGCGAGGCTGGGAGTACAAAGGTTCAATGCAACATACCGTCTTGGGCGCTGTGGCCGCCCCACCGCCGCCGGATTGTTTCCCTGTTCTCGGCTCGGAGGCCTTCCGTTGGCGCTTGGACGGCTCTCTCGTCGGGCTGATGATCGAAGACGAATTTTGCGCGTCGAGGGCCAGCGGAAATCCGGGGAGTAAAAACCGACAGGCGATTGGTCGGGAAAACCGAGCGACATGTAGAACACTATGGGTCGGAGATTGGGCCTCGTCGCCACTCCATTCGCTCCACTCGGTAAGGTGCGAACGGACTACCCGTTGAAGTAATGATTATGGCCCATCACAAGTATACGGCACTCTTGACGGTAGGGACACGGGCCACCACGATTTGCGTTTACGACGATACAGAATAAATCAAGACTAGAATGCACGCCCATGATTGAAATGAGCCAGATACCTAAGGGTAGCTCACGGGCCATCTACAGCACCACACAACTGGTGGAATGGAAGAAGATCACGCCTGGCGTCGGACTTCAAGTGTTTCAAAAACATTCGGCCGGGCACCGCGTACCGGCCGATCAATGGCGAAAATGTCGGTTCAAACAAGATCACATTTGCTGCGTTACGTTCCAACATGCGGGGTCCGGTGAGTGAGTACTTGATGGCAAGGGTGCAATATAATCACAGACACTCGACTAGAACGCGCAGACCAATCGCATCCGACTCCCACACGGAATGTCCACGTCGTGTTACTGGCTAACAGGCGCTGATCATGAGTACGTTGACGGACCCGAAGGCCTCACAGATGAAAACTAAGAACCCAACGGTATGCTGGGTCTGATCTCGCCACTCGTACTTAGATAAAAGCTACGGAGGTATCTTCTCCGACGCATCGCAGGAACTACACCTCCAGGGTGTGGAGGGGGTTGACAGGCGACGGCGAAGACATTAACCGACGCAGAGCGCTTCCTGGCTTCACTGGGGTACGAGAAAATGTTCTCTGCGGGGTGCCCTAATGGTAGTGGCAGTATAACTTGTTTGAGGTTCGGCTTCCGAGCGACAGGGGCAAAGGTCTCTACTTCTGTCTTGTTCGTGGGATATTCTTCGCTCTTGTCTGGCGCTGGTTTCTTTAGGTTTCGTCCAAATTTTGGGTCAGCTTGGGACCACAAAATTAGATTATTTTGCTTGCTTGCCTTGAGCGGTGGAAAGAAGAGATTGCAGGTAGTGATTCGAGCGATTGTCCATATAATCACTTAGTAGGCAACGCCACAACAACGATCCAGGTGTAGCTCCAAGTCTCGAACGTACCGTTATCCCACCTATTCCCCGGCACCGAGGAGAACATAGCGTGGGAGGGATCTATGGATAGAAATTTTTGGCGTTTGGAAGATTATCCCTAGGTGGCGAAATACTGGTTAAAACTTTCGCTGCAACAGATTGTTGTCACGGATTGCACGGAAGGGGGGGGGGGGCACCTTTGGGGGGTCACGGACTGAAGGAAGCAACTGATGAAACGTACGCGCGCGTATTGGCTAACAGGGGAACAAACGAAAAGCCACGACAAGATCGAATTCGCCCGCCCCGTCGGCCGTGTATGATTGTAGTGACAATTGCAATATCATAGTTCGTGCCAAAAAAATCCTCAACGAAAAAAAAATGCTAAAGCGATATCTAGCCTACTCGTTGTCCTCTGGTGTATTCCGAACGACGTCATGATAGACTGCAGTCTAAAAGGGATGCTCCCGATGGTGCCGGCTGTATTTAGACATCGGCATGATGAGGAAACGTGGCAATACGCGGGGCCAATGGTCTTGGGCGCAATACCTCGGGAAAATATGTGCTAATGGTTAAGAAAAAAAGTGAAAAAGTGAAACACATTCGGGTAACACCTACACGCTCGCTGATAGTCCCGCAATATCCTGCCGTAGCTATATACTCCCTTTTCACCTTTCAGCGTACTCGGGTCGTCGACTGCCGGCTGCCCTGACGCTGTACCGGCGGAAGGGCATTGCTGCGCCCCCGAGCTTGCGCTTGCCTCGCCTTGCCTGCAGCGAGTTATCGGACAGTTGCCAAGAATGGGTCTCGATGCTGCCGTAGGCGCCCTTCAAAACTTGACGTAGGCGCGACACAGCTAGATCCAACTCACGTAAGCACTAGGAAGAATGTCCTGCCATCCGCAGAATGTGCCCACCCAAAGGTGGATGCAAACCCCGCTTGTGTGTGCGGCACGGGCAAATAAAAAACGAAGTGAGCACTAAGGCGATCTCCATACAGAACCAAGTTTATCCAAGCACGGAGCCTTCGCCATGGTTTGCATTGAAATCGACGAGATGGATTGACCCCGATCCGTTGGTGTGCTCAACGTTGGCCAATATTGTGTCGAGAAGATCCACCATCTTCAATGTCGTACCGACGATGCTACAGTTCAGTGAGCGTCGGTAGTTGACCAAATTGCATTTCCTCTCCCCCGCTAGCGTTTCCGTGCGACAGACTTTTTAATAGGTCTACTGGACTAACAGAAACCGCAATGCCATCAACGCTACCCTACCTTCTGCGCGTGCCCCTCCTGCTGCTCCTGCTCCTGCCCCTCCTCCTGCTGCACTTCCTGCTCTTCCTCCTCACCGTGCCCCTCTTCCTCTCCGTTCTGTTCTCCACCATTATTCCCAGATGTGGTCTGTCAACGTCGTTCAACAAAAACGGCAGCATATTGTGTGCGAGCAAGAAGGTAAGACATACTGTGCCGCAAATGTGCGAATTGGCAGTGAAGCGAATGTTTATGTCATAGTTCACGATACACTTGTACTCTCGAACGCCCCGAAGGGCTACAATCGCTGTACTGGCTGCATAATGCCTCCGATCGGTCTCGACAGGTCAAACACCGGCGGCCTGGATCAGGAAGCAACCCCGTTGTGTGACTACGAAGTTGGTAGTACGTGACAGAGATTTGAAACGACCAAGGTCAAGCATGATTTCGCCTCTTCATGTCATGAACCGGCGAGGGTGATTGCACTTCTTCCAGACCGGCATCAACCGACACGAGTTCAACATCATTAACTTCAGGTGCAGGTGCACGGTTCCTTACCGACATGGTGGAGACGTTCGAGCAGGCACGTGCGCCGTCGAAACAACCACCCAAACCCTAACCTGGCCCACAACGAATGACGCCGCACAAGACGAGACCCCACACCCTGTGACATCTACCTCGTCTTCCTCATGTCTCTGCTGGTCGGTGCTTCCAGCCTCTGGCACCACATAACCGCCGTCGGATGGATCGCGTTCCTCGTCTCCATCATTGGTGCCGTGTGGTGTGCCGCAGCCCCCGTCCTCCTCTTCCGACATGTGTGACTCGCCGATCTGCATCTGAAGTTCGATAGGCGTCAAAGAGATCTGGATGAAGGAACAGAGCGTGATTCTAGCAGCGGGTTGGGAAAGGTACCATCTGGTTGTGCCCTGAATCCCCTTCCATCCGAAGGAGGCCGTGCGAGGGTGATTGCCCGTTTTTCGACAATACATGCCGCCATCACCGATCTCGTGCAGTGGCACGCAAGGCTCACCTTGATTTCAACTGTAAGATCACAATTCTCGGCTTCCAAATCAGCCGACGACGTCGAACCTGTGTGCAACGTGCCAAGGATATGAACACGAAGGGAACCGTGGTTTTGATTGTAATGGAGAATTCGAAAAGAGATCATGTCGGTTACACGACAAAAACAGCGCACGACATACAACATGGGCTGCCATTCTCCACCAGGGCAAAACACCACTCCCCCCACGTATCCTCTTGTTTGTTTCACGGCCCCTGATCATACCTGAACCCTTGCTGCCGCAGTTGTCGTCACTGGGCATTTCCCGGCACATGGAGACCGAAACAGCAAGACCCGTCGAGTGGTAGAATTGCAAAACAAAGCGCAACGCATTGGAGGCGCCATTAGCCCATATCAATATATGCATCCCTTCCACAAGCGCAAACATGCGATAGACGATACTTTGGCAGCCGTCACATACATTCCAACGATCGGCATACATATCAAAGGTACAAAGCTTAGATCAGGCGGACAAATAGCAACACAGCACGAGAGTACACGAAACGTTCAGCAATGAACCGAGTCAGTCAATTGCATACCTCTCCCTCACCACCGGCGGGTTGATTTTTGATTCCAAGCTTGCTGCTTCAGCTTTGGAAACCTCCGCTGCAGCTTTGGCGGCCTCCACTGCGGCTTTGGCCGCCTCTGCTGCAGCTTTGGAAGCCTCTGCTGCAGCTTTGGCCACCTCTGCTTCAGCGTTGGATGCCTCTGCTGCTTCGACCGCCGCCATTGCTGCGGCCGATTTAGTGGCGGCTGCTGAAATCGCTTGGGCTGCCGATACCGCCGCCATTGCTGTGACGGCCGCGGCCTCCGCTGCGTCCGCTGCCTTCAAGACATTCCGTGCCACCGTCTTCGCCATGCTGGCTGCTTGAGACACACTTGCACATGCTTGAGATAGAGGGAGGGCGCCAACACCAGTCGTACGAGCCACGACCTCTTCATTGACGACTTGAAGGCTGGAAAACGCGACTCTAAGCTTCTCCGAACTGTCCGTCAATTGTTCTCTTGCCGCCGCCATATCGCTTCCACCTTTCCGGCGTTAACGGTGTAAGGGGACCGGTGGGGCGGGGGAGGGGTTCGTGGGCCGTGACACTTGCTTCGAAACGCCCAGCGCCAACATGCCAGGGTCGAAAGCGCGGGTGCTGGTTTAGTGTGTGCCACTTACACGTCGTGCAACAGAGCGGTGATGTAGAACGAGAGGCGGGCCCTCAACAGAACAGAGGGCAATTATGGTCATTTCCAACAGGGGAAAAACGTGGTCATGGAATGAGGGCCACCGTAACTCTGGTTCGTGTGTCGGGCGAAGAACCCTTCGATAAGGGCTCAAAGCGCGCCTGCTTTCGCCGTGGTTTCTCGCGCAATATGTCCAAATTGCCATAACCAAATGCAACGAGTTTCATTCAGAATAATGCGATCGGCGCACGACGAAGTGCACCAGGTCATGCCGAGGTGCGCACCACACACATTCTCCGCCCTTTGCTCTCTCAGGGCGCCTTGATGAAACCAACAATTTATAGGGAACATTGGAGCATTAAGGCTATCCTCGCACGGGCCTCGCAAATAGCGCATATGCTTTCTGCACGTCAGGGGATAGTAGCAGCAGGAGTGTGAATTGCTGGAGCGCGCACGCAATCACCACAACATCAAGTCCCTCCGGCTAACCCCGACCCTAAGAAGTTCATCGACAACTGGGCATACCAAAAATCTAAACTTTCGGTATTGCATGGCATGTATGCGTGTAGGAACAAGAGACAGAGTCGAGACCCTCTGGAAACAATCATTCGGTAAGTATCTCAAGGATTTGCCCCGCGCTTACCGGCTTACCGTGCTGCACTGGAGCTGACGCGCGATTCGAAGAACAGACCCCTTGACAAAATAAAACATGTACGGGATCACAAGGATAGCGAACCCCTATGTAAGGGTTTCCGTCTTTTGACCGGGTGCCTAAATGGGACCACTGATTATGAGCACTTGAGAACCTCAAGTGACCATCGTCTTTGATTAATGTGACAGCCGGAGATGCTGAATGGTGAAGGCTCGCGGATCATGGCGGAGAGGGGTCGTAGGAAGAACGGTATTCAAATACGTGTTGGTATTTTCTCAAAGTCGTGCTCTAGCCGTTCGAGAGCAAGGGAAAACAGACATCTAATTGACGACTCACGGGGGCAGAGGAACGAAAAGGAAAAGCTCATATAATCTTCGTGTGCTCAGGCATATGACTGAGTCACGCCAAGCACAAGGGGCGTTGCGTGGCGGCGTGGCACCTGACGCGCAGGTGAGATTGCGCAACATCGAGGGTTGGCAGTGGTGAAAGGATTTCTTGATTCGGAGAGTTTTTGTGCGGCGAGTGTAAAAGTCCGGTTCTTAAGGCGAAGTCGTCTGCTGGGAAAATTGACAAAAATAGGTTGATTGTGATGCGTTCATGAGGTTCGCCGACATCCAAATACACCTCCGAACCCATCAAACCAAAATGCCATCATCGTCTAGCAGAGGCCAGAAAATATTTGTTCAAGTTTGCGTCAGACTTCGAATGCACGTGGCGAGTCGGTGGTCGCAGATAGGTGCAAACAAATCAGGGGCGGGTAACAAGTCTAGGAGAAGAGTGGCACCCCACAATGGTCTGTCACACCCAGCTGGCGCCTGTTGCCCTGGTGCGTTGTCGTCAGCAGCGGTGATCACGCGTTATCGGGGGCTTAGTCCTCTCACATTGGTGCGGGCAGATATCAGATTGGGATGACGGCGATGCTTTTTGCTGCACCTATTAGACTAGCATTTGCATAATCTCTGCTGTAGCCGGCCGTGCGGAGGCGATGGGAGCGATAACGCATTACAGGTAGAACCACAGGCTAAAATGGAAGTCCAAGACACTGCGACGTGACGGACGCACATGGATGTAGGGAAATGTGCCATCACTGGTCCATTGGTCAGGTTGCAACTTCGAAGCTTAGCTTGTTCTGCTCGGGCCAAAAGTCTATTTCATTTCTTCAGTTCGAACTTCTTCTCTCCGGGTTGTAGACGCTTCCTAGATCCCAATTCTGCCTGGACATCGTTTGGGAAATGGCGACCAGTTCCAAGTCTACAAACGACTTGGGTTCCGTTGTTGGAAAAAACATATCGGGGGCACCGCACAAATAACAACACGATGGAGAACCGCACACCACCCACCTGCCTTGAGGAGGTTACAGTATATACGGGTGGCCGGTGGGCACGGTTACGCGGGGGTTGAAGTGACCTGTAACCCCTAGGCGTTGTGCAACCTGCGTAACCCGGTCAGGCGCACCATTGCCAACCTCCAAGGTCAGGCAGGGTTCGGAAACGCCGACCCAAACCCAGTTAAGGGTCATTTGTATCTGTGCTTGGTTGCAGGCGAGGTTGTCCAAGCCCGAGAATGTCCATGCCTTGCCGCGAAAACTACGTACCAGCCGGTGTCCACAGAGTACACGACACACCGATTTAACAGACATTCGCGGCAACAATTAAAAAAAGCTTCATTCAAGAGTGCCGGCATTTGTAAGCCCGATTTTATAGTTGACTACCGTTAGACGCGCAAAAATAAAAACACTACACCCCCCCCATCTCCGCACCACCAGCACTATTTTCAAAGCAACCTCCTCCTCGCCGCTGATCTGCAACTAACTGCCCACCGGTCACCCCGCGAGTAGCCCCTCACCCCTTCGTGAGTGCTTATTATATCTTGCAGCTGTCGCGTTTTGAGGGCTCTGTTCTTACACCACAAAGAAAGGTGGGTTCGTTCTTGTTCTGAATACCACGTCGGGCCTGAGCACGCACGCACGTTGTTGTTATTATAATGTAGTCAATTTCTTTGATTTTGATTTTTTTCGAGGCCACATTTCTAACTGCCAAGTTCTTAAGTCCGAGCGTCATATTTATCTTCTGATCATGATGTAGTGCCGGAAGCAACATAGACATGGGCCTACTCTTCTATTTGATATATATATATTGTTGCGTAGAAACACGCACGGCAACGATTGGGGGGCAAAGCAAAGACTGAGAAAAAGAGAGAGAGTAGGCGATGATATACTATATATACATACATACGCTGCCTCTCTCGTAAAAAAAGTCAATACCACAACACATACGTACGTACGTACGTACGTCTCCTTAAAAATATATAACAACAGTGAGTGGTCGAATATAGTATTATTACATAAAATTAATAATATAATATCTGCTGAAAAAATTATTGCGCGCTCAGCATTAAATAATTCTATACTTCGTATATATGTTGTTGCTGCTGTGTGGAACATAACAACTTAGCTGACCAAAAACTTGCCATTGAACGATTGGTAATGGAAGACATTATTCGGAGTTTCTGCTTTTTGCGTGGGGGGGACCGCAGAGTATTATTATTGTGCTCTTATCGGCCGCGTGGGTGGTGTTGCCACCATTGTTTCCGTCCCCACAATGTTGTTGTTGTTGTTGTCTTCACATAAAAAACCATCCCGGTCTCTCTATCCAGTACCTCCTTCTGTCTCAATCTCTCCGTACTAATCCAGCACTTGACTCGGTCAATTTCCGTGGTCACAGGCTAACGTACCTAGAAAAGGTATCCCAAAAAAATTTGGACCCCAAGGGTTAGCAGAGCGATAAAATACAACAAAACAAAAGAATCAGAAACAAAAAATAAATAAATAATGGAACGTGCGCACCACCAGCCTGGGGGGTAGCCTTCCGGAAGGACCCCAAGGGTCAGCAGTGCGTGCCAGTAAAAAAAAAAAAAAAAACGAAATAAGCCAAAGACAGACGAGGACATAATAAACAAACTCGCACAGAAACAGGGATATCCGTAGAGACAGTCTGAACGCGACAGCAAACGGGGGAGAGGGCAACAGAAAAACTAGTCGCTGAATTCAACCGCAACATGTCACGTCACGCGGTCGGTCTCTTCTCGCTTGCTTTCTTCCCGCGCCGTTTCCTCCCGCCCCCCTCCCGCCCCGTTGATTGGTGCCGTATCTAGACTATTTTTGGGCCCGCTGTCTCCTCGTTTGATGGCTCGTTGTCGGCTGGCCTTCTCCTCGCCGTTGTGCCTGGAGGCCATAAACCTCTCAGCTCCCTGTAGCACCCCCGCGTGCCACGGTACCCCCCCCCTCCACCTTCGCCGCCTCGTCCCAGTCTGGCTTAGACTATATATATATATATATATATCTAGATTCATTCATGGAATTTGCGAGTAGAGTAGATATGTTTCAACATGTAGCGTTGTTGTTGTTGTTGTTGTTGTTGTTGTTGTTGTTTTTCTTCACATTAAACTCGTTCGTGCCAGTTGCTAATCCCAAAATCTAGCAAAGACTCGGTCCGTGGTCACAAAAGTGCTAGAGCCATCAGATGATCTAAGGAACACACACACTGTTAGCAAGAAAAGGGTACACAAGCCAGAGGAGGTACACCTACAATCCCTGCAGCACGTTTGATTTGGGTGCTCACAACTGAACTACACGCTCACACACTACAATTCGCTACAGCAGCAGCATCAATCACCCCCTTGTCCCGCATTTAACCAAAATGAATGTCGACTAGACAGCGTACTGCTGTCTGAAGTGCTGTCTGCACAATAATAACACCATGGTGTACGGTACACAAGTTCGGGGCATGCAGCTGCTGTCTGAAGTGCTGTCAGAATGACTCCGTGCACATTCAAAGAAGAACACCCAACCAAAGCCATCATTGCAATTAATTGACAATCACCCGAATCTATCCACAGATCATCTGTGTAAGGCACAGCAGTGTAAAAATCGACACTGACTAGGAATCGTTCCACATTGAGGGGGTCTTCCACGATGCAGGTAGACAATCAAGGCACCCGGGTTATCCGCGCCATCTCTGCCGCGTCTCTCTACAAAACCAGTGACGTCATCACACACACCCAACACACCGTAGGTATATTCAGGAAAAAATCGGAAACAATTGACAACACAAGAGACTTCTGCTTGTGCGCCACGGTTCGATGTCGTCCGCATGCTCCGGTTCCGTTGCTCCGGTGCCGCTGCTCCGGTGCCGCTGCTCCGGTGCCGCTGTGGCCAGTCCTAGCACGACCAAACTCGACCCGCTCCGCTTCGTACACGCTCTCGTTGTTGTCCTTCCCAGTCGGTTCCTCGCTTTCTCCATGGTTGCACGTAGGGTTGTTGGTCTGAAAATTTTCGCGCCGAAGGGTCAACCAGCCCAATCAGCTCGTCACCACCTGTCCCCTCCTCGTTTGATGGCAAAACCAGGTTACTGAGACAGTACAGCTCCCTCTAGCAAACCTAGGGCCGTGTACATAGTGCCCGTCCACCAATCTGATGACGTCTGCCTCCGCACACAAATATGAGATGGGCATTGCTGCCTATACACCGACGGCCTGGAGGCTCGCGCATCTGCACCTTTGTACCTGACGCACCAGTGCGGACCCAACTCAACCACAACGCACGCCTCGCGGCGGGTGCGCCGCAGCAAGAAGGTATCGGTCCCTTGAGGGTGAGTCTAGCCCTGCTCGTTAGAAAGACCCCCCCCCTCGCTATGGGTCATGCCTACGCAAAACCTACCCGAGGCAGCGAGGGGAAGAAGGGGAAGTGTAGCGGTCATCCGACAGATTTCGTAGGCACAAGTTGCTGGTTCGATCCACTCCGCATGATGTTTAGTCTACTTCTCCGGTCATCTTATAGTGAGCAGAGTTATCTGCCGATGTATTGCGTGAATACAATAGTCTACAGGCAAGGGTGGAGCACAATGTAGCAGGGAGGGGAAGGCTCACACAGAGTATATTTTTCGTTTCTCCTCCTTCATTCACACCAATCCGCGCATGACCGCTTTCATAACCCGGTACGTTATGCCCGCTCGGCCTGTAACCCCCCCACGTTATCTCATGTGATAACCCCTGGTTGGCCGGAGGTTACACAACGCCCCCGTACAACCGTGCCCACTGGCCACCTGTGTAGTGTACTTCGCCACAGCGTCTGTGTCGTCGCAGCAAGCCAGGTTTGCCTACAGAAAATGCCAGCTTACAGAGACGGATGCTCACGGCCGTTTGGAAGCACGAATACCTCACCAATCGGACGATGTGACAGGAATGTTCTGTTTTGCAGCGGCTCTCCTCTCTCTGCCGGTGGTGAGCTGCTTTGGGTGCGCCTCGCTCTTTCTCCGAATGAATCATGAGGGCGTATAGATTGGGCACGCCTTCCTTTCCCGAACCTTGTTTCGCGAGGGCCGCGGGAGCGTCCACCTCCGCCAATCAGCGCCCTTCATACCGCGGGGAGGGAGTGCTGCACCCTCCTCGTCAAAGCACCACAGGCAAGAACCGAGCTCTGCAGAGATGGATTGATGCGAGGAAACTCGCCGCTCGGAAAATACGGAAGAAAGCACACCCGCAACG